GAGAATAAAGTCATAATATTACGAGAATAAAGTCATAATATTACTTGAGAAAAGTCATAATCATGATGTGTCTATTTCCCGTTCCTCATTTCCTCCTAATTTTCCTCCCACCTGTTGTGTACGGCCATGTGTCTGTGTTTATAAAGTCTGTAATGATGACCTGGGTCCTCTTAGATTAATATGATGTCATCCAAATTGTGACGACTAAATCTGTTAACACATCCATTAATTACAACACAGCTTGAGTTTATAGTTGTTTGCACAATTTCTAAGTCCTGCTACTGATAAATTGATGCTAATGTGGTAAAAGATTAACTTTTTATTTATATCAAAGCTAAAGAACAACTTGACAAGTTGCTCAACATTCATCATTTTAATGCAGTAACTGCATGATTTTTCATGTAAAGGCTAGAATATTATGACTTTGAACTTGTGATATTGTGACTTTAAACTTGTAAGATTATGAGTTTAATCCCGTAATACAACAACTTTAAACTCGCAATTCATGACTTTATTCTCATAATATTATGACTTTGTTTTATATGACTTTAATGTCGTAAAATTACTTTATTCTCGTAATTAAAAATAAATAAAAACAATCTCGTTGTGTGGGCCTGATACTCCATCGTAGATTATAATATAAATAGAAAGGCAACAAAAATGCAAAGTRTGCAAAATAAAATGTAGATTAAGAATTCGGGATGCACTGATATGAAAATTTCAGCCAACATCAATATCCAATAATTATTGCTTTTATGGCTGATAACCGACATTTACCAATATTACACAAACACACAAATTATATTATACATATACACACAAACACACTTGGGTCTTTTTTTGATACAGTAAATAAAGAACCAGACCTCTGATATGACTCTACTTCAGTTATTCCTGACTGCTGCATCAATATCACTATCATGATCAAMCAGATGCTGTTCAACCAACCAKCTCCCCTCCCAAAACACAAATACAAAGATAAAAAGTGGGAAATCAATATAGAACATTAATATCAGCCCAGTTTTACAAATCGGACTGATACCAATATTAATGCGGATACTGTATATCGTGCATCCCTACTAATAATGAAATATTTTAATAGAAATGTATAAAGTAACAAAGTATGTAACTTTATACGTGTATCATTTCTGCATGATAAGTGTGCAGCGTGTCAGTGGCACTGTTATGCTAACACCTGTACAAGGTCAAGTCTGCTCTTCTGTTACTGACGATTTGTCCATCAGACTAATCAGCTCTACCTGGAGAGCTTTGGGGAACTATATGAGCGGTCCAAACCCRACTCGTCTTGAGTCCAAACTAGTTCTGACATAAGGACATAAGACTAATTAATTTAGACTTTAGATTTGTGAGACCTGATTCGGTGCTTGGACTCGAATCATTAACTCAAGTAGATCAGGAACCGACACCTGGTCCCGAACCGACTATAAATACTAAATCAATTGGATTGGATACTTTCTTTCAGCACCTTTGACCAAAGTGATTGTAACTCACGCATAGTAAAAATACTTCTAAAAGTACATATTTTCCAAAAAATTACTCAAGTAAATGTAACTGAGTAAATTTAATTACTACTCTGATCTTGACAACATGCTGTCCAACAGCTCACAAACACCGGAGACAGTAAAGTGTATCCCCCCCCCCGTGAAAAGAAAACTCCGCCCCAAGGCAAAATTTGAAAAATGCATCAAAGTGGGTAGGGGAGGGGGTGTGGGT